CGACTCCGCTCCTCCCCGGTTGGGGCGGGCCCGAGACCAAGACCGGCGTCTCCGGCGTCGTGCTCTCGGAGTCACGGGGCAGCCATGCCAGGCCGCCTGCTGCGGGGCCTGTGGCAGCGATGGGGCCGTTACAAGTACCGCTTCGTACCCTGGATCGCGATGAACCTCAACCATAACCCTAGGTGAGCAGGGGGCAGGCTTCTTTCAGTCTCGGGACGCCACTCGGCGACGGAGTCCGCGGTAGGCGGATCCTGAGAGGGGTGGAGCTTGGGGTGGCCGCGGGGGGCGGGGCTGGTGGAAGGGCCTAGTCTGAGGCGGGCGGAGCCTGAGGTAGAAGGGAGCGCGGACGGAGATGGGTGTGTCCCGAAGTGGGAGGAGCCTACAGCTATTGGCGCCTGAGGCGGGCGCCCCGCTTGACCCGTGCTGACGGTCTGACACGGGTGAGTTCGGACGTGTGCCCTGGTCACGAGCGGACGCCGTACCTCAGTGGGCGGGGCCAGGAAGCCGATTTCCCAGTGTCCCCCGCGCTTTAGGGTCTGTGAGGCCGGGGTAAGGGGTGCACCTCAGGTGAGTGCTCGTCCGGTTCTCCAGCTGTACTTGCTGGGACTTCCGAAGCCGCTCTGTGCCTGCCGCGGGACTCGGCATCTTTAAAAAGACATAAAAACCCCTTCGCCCCACTGAGACGTGGTTAGCATGGGGTTTCTCGTTACATGTTAGGAAAACAAGCCGGAAGGTTGACGCCTCGGAGTAGTTAACGCATTGAAATCAGCAAAAAGCAAATGAAACCCAGCGGCGTCCTGGGTTTTTGTAACACCGGTGGGCGCCTTGAGGGCAATGGTGCAGCTGCCCGTGGCCAGGAGGGGATCCAGCCGGGCGGCTTTGCTGCGCGCGGGGCGCTGCCGCCGGCTCTGCAGGCGGCGACCGGGGAGAAACCCTGGCGCTCACCAAACAGGCAGGCAGGCAGGTAGAGAACCGAGGTCATAAAGTCATGTTGACTTCTACCATTTGTCCCTGAAAACCCTGTAAAAAGTCATTGCAATGTGATGATCTTTTTTAGTTATTTTTTGGTGATGATTTTTTTAAGTGATAACTTAGTTCGATTGGCTGTGGGGAAAAGACTCGCGCCGTTTCTCGGCTGCTGCCACTTACCAGCGTTAGGAGTAAGGAAAACTTCCCCAACATCGCCAGGACGTGCTTCCTTGTTTGCAGAAATAACTCCTACGCGCCAGCGGTACGGGTGAAGACCCGGTAGCGATGGTCATTCACTTCTTGGGCCTTTCAGAAATATTGCTGCTATTAGCTTCTGGGCGTTCCCGTAGGGAGCTAGTACTATCTGAAACGATTCTTTGCCACATTTTTTTTTGCTTTAATCACTGGAGGCAAATTAAGGCCAGCAACTCAGATGGCATGCAGAAACTCTAGCTTTTACCTGTTGAAGGGTAGTGAATAGAAATTTTTCCCATTTTCAGGACCCTCCGATATGTTCCAGAGGAATCCAAAGACAAAGTAATATCAGATGAAGAGGTCTTAGGATCATTACTGAAAGTTTTCCAGGCACTGTTCTTAAATGATTTCCATAAACAATCAGATATCTTGACTGTGCTTCCAGAAACTGTTCAACTGAAATATCAAGACTTAGCGGCAGTTCAGCATCAAAGAGTGAACCTGCTTGAAAACAGAGATCAACAGCAAAATATCTTTAAAGCAGAAGAAGTTCTTTATCAGACTTTGGGGTTCAATGTTGCCCGAGCAGCTAGCTCATTGATAACGGCTGGAAAAGGTGTCTTCGTTACTAAAGGCTTTGTGCCAAAAGGCGCGGTTGTTTCTATGTATCCTGGTAATGGAATGTTTATGTAGTACTTTGCCAAGAGGTTTTGTATATAGTTAAATAGAAGTTCAACAAAATCTTCAGAGTTGAATTGGAAGCTAAAATGTTCACAGATTTTTTTTTGAGTCCTAATTTGGGAATTAACTATAAATTCTGTTATTCATAGAAAGTATTCTGGAGTATTTATTAGGGTAAATATGTTCTCTTACAAAAACACTTTCTAATGTTTAAATTTAGCAGAACATGTCTTTCTTTGATAAGATAGAATAATGAGAATGCACTATAGGGTAAATTGGGAGCCCTGGTGGTGTAGTGGGCTGCTAGCAGCAAGGTTAGTAGTTCGATACCATCAGCTCCTCTGGGAAAAACATGCGATTTTCTGCTCCCGTAAGAATTGAAGTCTCAGAAACCCACATGCAGGTCTACCCTGACCTATGGGGTCACTAAGAGTAGGAATTGCTCAATAGTAGTGAGCTTGAGGTTTTTTTAGTATACATCAGTGTGTTTTAATTAATTGATAATGAAAGATAAGGGTCAAAACATGAAAAAATTTAAACTAGTGAATCACCGAATAAGAACTCTCTGTTATTCCCATACTTGAAAAGTAAACTTCTTTGCAAAAGGTTTTTGAATATTGAATGTGTGATTTGTTAAACTAACTTCTGTTTATACTCGAGTATAAGCTGATTTTTTTCAGCACATTTTTAATGCCGTTTTTTGTGGTAAATGAGGTGCCTTGGCTTATACTCAAGTATATATGGTATGTTATTTGGGATGGTGGAAAATGTGTGTAATACCGAAGTCAAATAGATTTATGTTTTTTGTTGTTTTCTTTTTTT